GAGAGAGAGAGAGAGAGAGAGAGAGAGAGAGAGAGAGAGAGAGAGAGAGAGAGAGAGAGAGAGAGAAGTCGAAGGTGGGAGATGTCAGGAGAAAAGCCGAAGGTGTGATGGTGGGAGAAAAGCCGAAGACGGGATGGTGGGAGAAAAGCCGAAGGTGGGAGATGGTGGGAGAAAAGACGAAGGTGGGATGGTGGGAAGCGGCGGAACAAGTCTGGAGAGAGAGAGAGAGAGGGAGAGAGAGAGAGAGAGAGAGAGAGAGAGAGAGAGAGAGAGGGGCTGGTGGTTACCCACCTGGCAACTTTACGAGCTGAGGCCGCGCCCCTTCCGCTGCTTCTTCGGCTCCTTCATGATGACTGTTGTGCCCTGGCTATGGCTGGACGATGATGCCTTTGACTGCTGCTGCTGCATAGGAGACGTGGAGGCAACCATGCGACGGGCAACGCACGGCGGGCGGGAAGGGCACAAAGCTGGACTACCGGGGTTCATCCAGGCAGCGAGGGGCAGCCATTCTGAATTCAAAACTTAAAAAACAAACTTCAGCTGCCCCCCCTTTTTTTTCCGAGGCCCCGCGCGGCCTCAAATATATATATATATTTTTTGTGGTTCGCTACCCGACATCCCGCCTGGGCCTAGAACACCCCTCGGCAACTTTTCTTTTTTTTCGTCAACCTCTTATTTCCGGGGTGCGCCGCACCCCGTGAGCGGTGCGCGGTGCAGCGTGTGTGCGGGGTGCAACGCATGTCGATGCGCCGCAAGTATGATGTATATACATATATATATATGATGAGTCCGTGAAACTCCGACGAAACAGTTTGTCACAGCCCCTCGTTTGTTGTCCTCTTCTCTCTCTCTGCCTAAGGTTTACCGGGCAGTTCTATTTGTGACGATATATATATATATATATCGTCACAACAGAACTGTATATATATCCTCTTCTCCCTCTCTGCCTATGGTTTACCGGGCAGCTCTGTTTGACTATATATACATATACATTCAGCCTCCTGATGAGTCGGTGAAACTCCGACGAAACAGTTTGTCACAGCCCCTCGTTTGTTGTCCTCTTCTCCCTCTCTGCCTACGGTTTACCGGGCAGTTCTATTTGACGATATATACCACCATAACCATATATATATATACCACCATAACCAACCATTATGCACTTTTTTTGCTCTATCTGGCCCTACTTCACTAAGAGGCGTAGGATTGCGGGGCTGTAGGGAGATATTCTTAGATAAGGAGATATGGGTTAGGTAGGAGTTTAGTTAGGTAGAGGGACACTCTCTCTCTCTCTCTCTCTCTCTCTCTCTCTCTCTCTCTCTCTCTCTCTCTCTCTCTCCGGTTCGGAGTGGCCAACGGGCCGGTGCGGTTAGGGGGTGCCAAAAACTAACTCCGCCAAAAGAAGGGATATGGGGGCTGGGACTGAACAGGCCCCATATTCTAGGCATATATAGATGGCTTCAAAGCCGCCAGGCCATCTGAGTCCATTTTCTTGCGAAAACGGAAAATGGACTTCGAACTGTTCGCTTAGAGCTTCGGGCGGTGTCCGAAACAGGCAAGTAGTGGCAAACGGCGACGGAATCCGGTCAAACTTTAGGGAAGTTTGGACCTAGGGGTCTGCGCCTCGATGTCGTTGGCTGCCGGTGGTCTGCCCGAGCTGCTCTCGCGGCGAGGGCGGAGCCCRCGTGCCAGTGTGCCGACGGGCGTAGAATGTCTTATGTCCCCACCTTTCGGGTGGGGCCGCGGGACTCTCCCTAAGCATCAAACCGCTGACTCCGACAACGACACGCCATTGCTGTAC